AATACCCATGTCAAATTCAGACTCTTGTAGATATACCGCATAATCATTAGAAATAGCAGGTCTCCTTTCTCTTTGAGATCTTCTTAATGCTATTTGTTGTGGTTCTTCTACTATGGGTTCATTCGGTTCATCAACAATGATTTCTTCATGAATAGTGGGATCATTAACTTGTCCTTCATTATTATTGATTGGTTCAATAGCATAAGGAACAATAACTTTACTAGAGCTACAAGGTAATGGAACTTGTACTCTCACTTCATGAATATCCACTTTACGTGGTGTTTCACTCCCACTAACTTCACCATTCTCAATGAACCTTGCATTTCCAGATTCAATAATCCTTGTAGTATGATAAGGACAGTAAAATCTATACCCTTTCGACTTTTCTGGATAACCAATGAAATAACCACTGATTGTCCTTGCATCCAGTTTCTTTTCTTGCGGATTGTAGTATCTAATCTCTGCCTGACAACCCCAAACATGCAGGTGTCTTATACTAGGTTTCCTTCCAGTCCAAAGTTCAAAAGGAGTCTTTGGAACTGACTTACTAGGAACCCTATTCAATACGTACATGACAGTTTTTAGAGCATAAGTCCACAATTAAACAGGTAAAGAAGAATTACTTAACATACTCCTAACCATATCTAGTAAGGTCCTATTATGCCTTTCTGATACACCATTCTGTTGCGGTGTACCGGGCATTGTGTATTGAGCACAAATACCACGCTTTTCCAGAAATTTAGCAAATAGGCCCGGATGCTGTCCACTTTCATCATACCTTCCATAATATTCACCACCCCCTATCAGACCTGACAATCTTCACCTTTCTGTCTAATTACCTTTCAACTTCATTAATATAAATCTCCAAAGCATTTGCAGCTTGAGACTTATCATGCAGCAAATAGACATAACCATAACGTGAATAATCATCAATGAAAGTGATAAAATATTTTTCTTTATTGAAGGCATTAACATCAAACGGACCACATACATCAGTGTGTATAATTTCAAGAAGCTGAGTGCTCCTTGTGGCTCTTTTCTTTGTGTGTTTTGTTTGTTTTCCTTTAATACAATCCACACAAACATTTAAATCAGTAAAGTCTAAATCCGGAAGGATTTCATTATTTACCAATCTTTTCATCCTTTCTTCTGAAATATGTCCCAAACGTTTGTGCCACAAGTAAGCGGAACACTCATTAATTAAGGTACGTTTAGTACCATCATTATGATGCAGAGTCATAAGTGTTTCAGCATAAAGATTATCAAGACATAATTTATATAATCCATCACATAAAGTACCATTACCAATCATTGTGCTTGTACAAACTGAAACTACCACTACCAAATTTAAAAGAGTATCCAGCAACATCAAGTTTGGAAATTGAAACTAAATTCCTAGATATAATAGGTACATAAAGAGTTTCACATAAATCCAAATGAAAACCACTGTCGAGAATCAAACGGTAAGTCCCAACAGCTTCCACCGGAACTTTCACTCTATTGCCCATAAGGACAAACTTTTCATTTGGCTTTGTGGTTTGGGTCATAAGGAATCCCTGCATTGTATTAGAAATATGAGTAGTACAACCAGAATCAATCCACCAAGTATTATAAGGAACTTCAGCCAGGTTTGATTCATAACATACATAAGCACTAGGCTTACCTTTCTTTTCGAACCAAACCTTACGTTTCAGGCAGTCCTTTTTGAAATGCCCTTCCTTCTTACAGAAATGGCACCTCATCTTTGCATTACTTTCCTTTTTGTGGATTTTAGAAGAAGAGGCCTCACTCACTTTAAGGGGTCCTCCTCCTCCTCCTTTCTTCTCATGCTTCTTATCTTTATTCTTTTCAGCTCCTTGATGCTTTACATAATTGATGGAATGAGCTCCCTGATTCTTAAGTCTGGTTTCCTCCTGAACTAACATACTGTGTAATTCATGCACATTCCATTTGTCTTTCATGGTATTATAGTTCATTTGGAAAGGACCATACTCAGACGATAATGAGTTCAATACGAACTGCACCAGGAAGTTCTCATCCACAGCCATTCCCAATGCTTTTAATTTTGCCGCAATGCTTGTCATTTCAATAACATGCTCATGCATAGTACGCGAACCATCAAACTTCATGGTGGCCAGTGTACTCATAAGTGTCCCAGCAAGAGACTTATCAGCGGTTTGGGAGCGCTCTTCCACAAGTTTCATCATTTCGATGGCACTTTCAGTTTGTGGAAGAGCTGACTTAATGTTGCTTGCTATGCTCATTTTCATGTACATCAAACTTAATCTGTTGGATCTTTCCCAGTTCTTAAAATGGTTCCTTTCATCCTCAGTGCTTTCAGGAATAATAGCACCAGGTATCTCTTCTCTTAGAGCCAAATCCATATCCATTACCCCAAGGTAAAAATTGATTTGCTCTTTCCATTGAGAGAAGTTCAGCCCATTAAAAACTGCAACAGTTGAGAACATGGAATGTGTGGAAACCGGTACTGCGAGGAATAATATTTAAAAAACATTAATGCTTTGAGTCATACATGTCACATACTAACATACTTCACAGATTCAACTATACTAACTTCAATGCATATCAACGTTCGCCTTTGGGATCCATTAACATACAACATTAACTATAATGATTCTATATAAATTTCACATAATTTGGCAATGATGCATACCCCTATCATAATTATTTGTCATCTTTGGATGTCCAAATGTGAGGAAATATGCCAACAATACCAACATTCATGTTCATTTTATAAAACAAATAATCAACCTTTTGGTTGATCCCAAACTGTCATATAATAATGAACTTTAATATACCACAACATGAATAATTATATCATACTATTCACATCATCACAGTCATGGTAATTGAAATAAAATTCATAATATTTAGAATTAAAATAACTCTTCAAGATTTGGCCACTTTGGTGACTAACAAATTTACCATAATTAATTCCAAAACTTTAATCCTATTATATTTCATGAACAATAATAGGATTAAATTTTGTTTCCAAAAAAAAAAAAAAAATAGGATTAAATTTTGACATTCAATTTTAATCCAACTTTATCAAAATAATATACCGATCAGAACGAACACAGTACATAAATGTCCATTTGAATACTGAAACCGTGAATGTGCTTTGAAAAACCAAGAAATAAATTCATGAAACCGCGAAGCAAATTCATCATGATGCTTTTTATCATTCAATAATCCATTCTTTCCAAAAGCAAATGCCCTTTTTTCGGTTTTCGTGCATCACGTTTAATGCTTTGTCCATAAACAGGGAAAGGTAATTAACAAAGTCAATTAACAAAGTCAAATTAACATGGACACAATTTGCTTCGTACAGAGAAAGGCAATTGCTTTTCAACAAAAGACACGAAAACCGAGAAGCACTAATGCTTTTCATGATACTTTATCTCGGTTGTAAAAAAAGCTCCACAGAATCGGTTTTTTCAAAAGAATAAAAATAAAAATGCTTTATATCGATTGTAAAGATGAGAAGTACCTTTCATATTTTTATTTTCAAAACCCTAACTTTTGTGAATCAGAAATTTATTTATAATTATTTATGGAAAAACACAAATCCTTAAACACATGCTCTGATACTACATGTAAGCAATTTAATTAGTAATTCATTATTCATGTTCAACAGTAATCAATCAAGAACATGACATATGATCTTTAGAATTTATGAGTTTCACATAAACATACATTTGTCCATAATTGCGAATTTATGATCTTTAACAGTAGAATGCTTTCTCTAAGCCTTAACCATTTCACCTTCTTGTATCTTCTTTGATAGGGATATGATACAACTTTTCTAGGCAGCCTCAGAAGGACGTTTGTTTTCTATCAGATACCCTTGTATGAAAATTGATCATATAAACTATTATATAACTGGCCTATCACAGTTATTTCTAATTAACTTCCCTTGATGCGAAACGTCAAAACGTCAATTACCATTAATGCGAAACGTTACTATAATGCAAAATGTTAAAACGTCAATTATCATTAATGCGAAACGTCAATTACCATAAAGCCTCTTTTATAATTAATTAAATTAATTGACACACGTTACACACATGAGACACAACTAGTTTTACACCATCGCCATCGTGTCAGACTCAGAAGTAATCGACAGAATCAGCAAACTTCCAGATCCATTATTGTGTCACATACTCTCATTCCTCACAACCAAAGAAGCAGCGGCCACAAGCAGCTTGTCAAAAAAATGGAGACCACTATTATGGACCTCAGTCCCAGTCATTGACCTACACGAAGAGGTGTGTTTTGAAGTACGAGAACCCTCTGATCATTTCATGGAATTTTCGCGTCTGGAACTTCACATTATCCCCGAGAGTGGCATCAGGTTTTCCACTATTATAAACCGAGTCTTCGATCAACGCACCACTCATTCCCTTAAGAAACTCCTTCTCTGGAGTTTCCTAAACAGTTTCAATTCTAACCATGTCATGGCTTGGGTATCATTCGCCATTGCGGGTAACGTTGAGGAGATTGAACTCACCTTTTCAATGGAAGAAAGCATCAAATTCCCTAATACCCTTTTCACTTCCAAAGAAAACATCGAACTCCCTATTACCCTTTTCACTTGCAAAACACTCATGGTTTTAAAGCTCCATGGCTGCATCCACATCAAGAATGTTCCTTCCTCTGTCCACCTTCCCTTGCTTAAGATTGCCGACATCACTGATGTTTGCTTCCCATATGTTCCTTTTGTTTCCTTTGTCACCACTTTCCTTTCTGGATGTCCCCTTCTTGAACAGCTTTCAGCGAATCTGTCTCCCTCTGGCTCCGTCAAAATCTCTAATCCTCTGTTGAAGAAGCTCTGTATTTATAGTGGATATAACAGCATACATGGACATGATGTTGCCAAGCTCGAAATCAACACCCCCTCTCTCCTATTCCTTGATATTCAAGCTACTTCAATCCTAGATTATTCGGTTGAGAATGTTGGAAATTTGGTGGAAGCAAGGCTTATGGTTTCTGAGGAAAATGGCCCTGTGGATTTTGTGTTGAATCTTTTCAAAGCAATTCGTGAAATTAGGATTATGTCTTTGTCTTATGGTCACATAGAGGTAATTGATGCCTTTCTTTATCACAAGCACACACATGGTCAAACCTTCAGCTCACAGTAACATGGGTTGGATTTTCATCTTTTGCTCTTTGGATTTAATTTCATGGTAAAATATGATGTCTTGTTACTTATGTATTTTCATCTACATGCAGGTCTTTGATAAAATTTGTAATATAGATCTTCCCGAATTTTGCAATTTGGTTCGCTTGGAGCTAAGTCATTAATTATTATTGCTATAAATCGGAGTTGCTGGTAAAGTTCCTTCAAAAATGCCCCAAGCTTGAAGTTCTTATCATTAAGAGGGTTTGTTCAATTAATTCCAAGGTTTTATTTTGGTATGTATATAGGTGTTGTTTGTTCGTACCTTTTTTGAATAGTTGTGTCCCTTGTTGCCGGGATTCTCTTGCTAGTGATGAAATGCCATGGATAGAGCCAACATGTGTTCCTAATTGTCTTTCATCACATGTTACCATGTTTAAATTTAAAAAATATAGAGGTTACGGGGAAGAGCTGGGACTTACAACATATATTTTAAAGAGTGCAAAACTCTTGAAGATGGCGACAATTCAGATGGATAACTGCTGGGAGAGGAGCAACATTCAAAAACAAATATCTGTGGTACCAAGGGCCTCTACTACCTGTGAGCTTGTATTCGAACCAAAGTCTTAATGAGATCTTGAATTCGAATAAACAACTCGTGTAGCACGAGTGCTAGATTTCAAAGAAACATATCCTACATGTGAGATTGTATATGTTTAATAATGAAATATGTTTCTCATCCCTTCTCTTGTGAGTAGCTTCAATTAATAGTAGATGTGAAGTATATCTATGCCAATAAAAAAAAATAGTGAAAAGAAAGAACAAAAACACCTCTCTAACTTTCTAACTAAAGTAAGAAATATGCACTGTTTGGATGTCTAACTATTTGAGTATTATATTTTTTTAATATGCAAGGAACAACAAGGTATAGATGATATTTTACCATCAATTGTTTGGTAACTTATGTTTCATTTAACAAATTTTTTAGGGAAAACATCCGTTCACAAATTTTTTTTATAAAGTTTTGCAAATTACACTATGTACTCCCGAGAGAACATAATGTAACATATACTGTAATTTGTAAATAAAAAAGTTTGTAGATATAACTCTCCCAAATTTTTTATATTTAATAATTTTTTGAAATTGGTAAGGATTAATTTCCATACGTGTAAATTGTATTCTTAAGCCTTAGTTGTTGATTTCATTTGTATCTAAACATTTACCTGTTAGTAAATTAAGATTGTTATTCTTAATTACACTACTTTAAAATAATCCCACCACCTCACCTTATTTGGAATTATAAAGCTTTTCCCAAAATAATATAAAAGAAATTTGCATAAAATCATCGGAAAAAAATGTAATACACTAATTTTTTCTAAATATGAAGAATCAATTGAAAGTGGATGAGGCATTAGGTCCACTCTATCTGTATTAAGAAACTCTACAATACTTAATTATTTTTTAATTGAATGGGGGGTAAGGATCAAATTCGTAACCACTTGATCGTACGGCCTCCGATACCAATTCAACTCTAAAAGTTTAAGATATTGCTTGAGGTTACCTTAATTGTTTTATATTTATCTAAAACTAAATATAAACATTATCATAAAGGAGAAAATTTAAGATATTTCTGAAATGATTTTTGCAGGAGACTTCATTGCTACGTAATATTGATGATATCATCTAATGAATGGAGAAAAACTTTTATGAAAGATACTTGTTTGACGCCGTGACAATATGTTGTTGTCCAGATGCAACTCCGCACTTAGCCCACAAAATGTTTAGGCGTCATTAGTCTTCCTTTGTGTTTATGTAGGCAGCTATTAAAGACTACATTCCTTACTGCAACACCTGCATTTATAGTGCATACTTTTATGTAAGACACTCAAAAACAATTTCTCTCACAGCAGACTTTTAAATTACATTTCAAGTAGAATGATAACCTCCTAAGTCCTAACCTTTGTGTGGAGGGTAGAATCCTCCAGAGTTTTAGTTAGACCAAAAACTCATTTAATTTACAGCCAATTAAATTGTAGGGTATTTGAGTAATTCTGCCATAAGACAAATTTCCACTTTTATTAAGAAAATTAAGTTGGTTTTGACTTACTTTGACATGTACACTCACTATCTCTCTCGTACTGAGAATTCCTAATAGGTTCATATGTTTCTCTTACAACATTGTGAATAATGTTAGAAATCAAATTTGATTTTGTAATTATCCACCGTCATCCTAGAAGAATCATGAACCAAAAGAATTCCGGAAGCTATGAGATGTATGGATCACAAAGCACATTAAAAACGAAAGAAGTAACCAGAAAGCTACCACCGCCATAGGAGAAGAATCTACACATCTACTAGAAGAGCCTGCACCATTCTTGATGGATTACTAACAAATAATTTATTAATAAAAAAAATGAAAGAGATTGAGGCTAGAAGAAAGTAGAGAATTCTGGAAAGGTAGTCAGAAACAAAAGGAAAGAGAAGACAATTTTGAAAAGCAAGAAGAAAAAGACGGCTGTGGAAAATTGAAGAGAGTTGTAGAATTTGAATATTATATTATATTATTAGAAAAATTCGGTTAGTTGAAGTCTATATATATAGGTGTATGTTTAGATGTGTGTTAGAGTGGTATTAGAAACATAGAATGAAATAGACTACCGAAGTACTGTGAGTTTGAGAAATATAGGGTTTGTTTGATTTCAATTCTCAAAAATAGATTTTAAGTTTTTAAAACAAAAAAACAAAAGAATCTGTTTGAAAATGATTCTTTTGCAAAATGCTTCCCAAAACAATGATTCTTTTTCAGTTTTGAAAACCAAAAAACGAAAACAACCTGACGATGTTCTCTGGTGGTGTTTTTGCTTTTTTTTGTTTAGGCGGTGGCAATTTTGTAAATTTCAAGATTCATTAATGGTAATTTCGTAAATTCAGGAGCAAAAACAATTACTTTATAGTGGCATTTTTGTAATTCTAAAACTTCATTAATGGCATTTTTGTAAATAACTACAACTTCTTTATAACTTTAATTTAACTACACTCAAACAAGATTTTTTGTTTTTTTACTCTCAAAATCAATTTTTAAAATTCATATTCAAAACAGTTTTTGAAAACAAAAAAACTAATACTTTCAAACAAACCCATAGTTACTTGAGATGAAAAACAGAGAGAGTACTTAAGATGAGTATGTGAAAAAAATAGTATTGAAATACTGTTAGAGAGAAGAAGAAAGAGTTTGAGAAAGAGTTATCTTGAGAGAAAAATTAGTCACATTGTTGTAACACTTGTATTTTGTATTGTGTTTTGTTTTGTAAAATTTTGATACCAGTATACTTGTTCTGTTTGTTTATTCCATCTCCAACAATTGGTATAAGAGCCCGGTTCGATCAAAGAAGCGAATCAGAGTAAGGTTCGATCAAAGAGGCAAATCATGTTCGATCAAAGAGGCGAATCAGAGCCATCGATTTGGGAGCTGTGGTGAAGAGAAGTGCCGAAGCATTGTAAAAGGAAAAGAAGAGTTTCAAAGTCAGGTTTTGGGAGCCGTGGTATCTATTCAAAAAAAAATGGAGATTCCAAAGTTTTATGGAAATGAAGGAGACGATGAAACCTCAAGATGGTTAATTCGTTTGAAAGAATATTTTCAGGTAGAGAAAATCGATGAAGATGCAAAGTTGATGGAAGTTGTGATAAGACTAAGAGGAAGCGCGTTTAGTTGGTATCAAGAATGGTGTCAAGGATGGATATGGTCCAATCTTGATGCAAGCTGGAAGGTGATATGCCTCTGGCAGAGGTAGTTTTCTAAGCTGAAATTGATAAGGATTAAGTCATAAAAGAGCAGTTTATATACATATTTGCTTACTATATTGACTTTTTCATGTCAATGATATTTCTCACCTTTTGGTTGTGTTTATATAGGTAGAAGAAGAAGAAAATATGGAAATTACAAAAAGCTTGGTGATCTGATTCCACTCCGGTGGAAATTCAATGTCGCATGCACAAGCCAAATACCAGGAATCTGGCGCAAGGTAGCGCCGCATTGCAAGCTACAGGAAATGCATCAGCTTTTGCCAAGCCAAATACCAGGAATCTGGTGCAAGTTAGCGCCACTCTGGCGCAAGGTAGCGCCGCATTGCAAGCTACAACAAATGCATCAGCTTTTTCCAAGCCAAATACCTGGAATCTGGCGCAAGGTAGCGCCGCATTGCAAGCTACAAGAAATACATCAGCTTTTGCCAAGCCAAATACCAGGAATCTGGCGCGGTCCAGCGCCTCAGCGGCGCGGTCCAGCGCCAGTTTGCGAGAAAAAAATTACTGTGTTTAAAAAAAGGCAAACTTAGAAGAAGGGGAGGGGGATATAAAAAGGAGACTGTACACAGAGTTAAAAACGGAATTCTTCAGAGACGGCGGTGGTGCTCAGAGAGAGTATTGCGAAGATCTTGTTCATCTTGTTCTCCCTTTTTCCAATTTTCAGTTCATGTTGAATATTGATAGGTCAGTCATGATAATGGTTGGCTAGTTTCTTTTTATTGTAGTTAGGGTCACAAATCCTATGTGAACCCTTGTTACAACGGATTGGTTTATAATTGTTCGTTTATATAATTATCTTTATCTCTACCCTGTGCGTAATTTCTGTCTTCGTTGTTAGAACTGATCAATCTAATAATTGATGATAGTTTGAGGGTTAGAACCCTAGATTAGAATATTGGGGTTTTGATCTTGAAGTGGGTAGGATAACAATTTATATGCATGCTAGGAATAGATGTATATTTGATTGCAGATGCTTAAATTCTTGGGTTCATTGCTTAATACCATGAGGAACATTGCAAGAAATTGAGGTTCCAATTGGGGTTAAAGGGTTAATCTTGCAAGGAATTGAGGGTTAACTACTGAATATTTTTTAGATAATAATTTATCTGAGTAATTATATAAATGAGTATTGTAAATCAATCCTGAGTAAGAAGTGGGAATCATTTGGTGAGTGCACTCTAGCTACAATGCTTTCTCATACTTTTAAAAATCAATCCTTATTTTTATTTTATTATTCATCACAAAAATTCCAAAAATACGTTATGGCTTTTATTTCTTATTTTTAATCAAATCAACAATTTTCACACACCTATTTGAATTCCTCTCATCTTAAAAGGAACAATTATTTGATATTTGATCACAATCCCTGTGGAGACGATACTTTTCTTATCACTGTATTACTTGTGCGATCGGTATACTTGCCGGTGAGCATCAAGTTTTTGGCGCCGTTGCCGGAGATTGGCATTTCTTTTATCATATAATCTTGATCTTTAAGATTGGA